GAGAAAACTGACAGAGAGAAGATTTAGGGGCTTAAACGGCTATTACAGTTATTTTTTTCTATATATTTTTATTAGTTTTCTGTGGAGAAATAGGTGGCATTACCGACTTGCATGTTAGCTTCAGTTTAGATATTTTTAAGATTTATTTTATTTATCATCTCTGTATTTTTCCATTATAATAAGGCCAGGGATCAAGAGGAATAAACAGATTGAGATATACAGATTAATTCATTTTTCTGGGATTAGTTGAGTTGAGAGTGAGATTCTTGCTTTAGGTTTCTCGTAGATTATTTTATTCCCTTTATTTTTTTCAAGTTTCTGGACAATTACCGCGTGGGCCTCTCCTTCTTTTGAGTCGCGGATGTAGACCTTTTCCTCCCTTTCATTTCTCTCATCTTTTCAGTTTTTTCTTCCTTCCTTCATTTCTTTTCCTCTCTCTCTCTCTCTCTCTCTCTCTCTTGGGGTCCCAAATCTTGTGGCTTTGATACCATGTGGATTTTATGTATTAACTGTGCATAGGCTTTGTTCATTATACCAAAATAGCTAACCCACTCGATTGGATTCACTTCAAGCTTATATATCTTTGAATTGCTTTCTTTTTGGACTGCTCTATCCTAGCCCTTCCCTATTGGGAAGGATGACCCACACACAAACCCACTCCCCCTATACCACTTGAGGTATTGATCCCACATCCTCCCCCTTTGTTTGTTTGTGTTTTTTTTTTTTTGGGGGGGGTGGTTTGGTGCCATTAAGCTATGAGGCTCGGGCATTTTTTGATTTACCTTGTTAGACATGGGGCTTTACATATAATCCAATAAATTTGCTTGAGTTCGGTTGATTGATATTTGGAAGCTTTTACCATTTGCAGTGGTTTTCTGGAAGAGCAAAATGTTATTCTTTTAATGGCTTTACATGTGAAGATTCTTAGCCACTCCCCTAACCTTTTACCATCTTATGTGCCTATTGTTGTACAGAATGAGGAGGAGGAGGAATCTGTATGGGCATCTGCACTTAGCTGTTTGCTTTATTTTGTATGTGATAGAGGAAGGATCTGGAGAAATCGATTGCAAGGTCTTGATATAAGGGTGAGGACTGAATTTCTCTTCTTTAACTCTACAGTGTTGTTTGGCAGCAGAACTTTAAGAGTGAATCACCTAGGCATTCTAGACCCAGGAAACATGCTCATTGAATGTGTTGTTTAATTAGTTAGCTTTCTATTTGCATTCCTCTCTTTCTAATTGTTGGAGACCGCCATGATTCGCCTAGGTTTTCAAGCATTTAATGTTTAATTATTTAATTAATTGTTGGGCCCTGTATTTCTAGGCCAAATCAGTTTAGATATTCGGCTATTATTTTTCCCTTGATGTTAGGAAGATTTGATGGGATAGCAACTTGTGGCTAAACCTCATCTTCCTATAAGTGTCTAGACATCATTCGAATAAAGGTAATCGTTTTGCTATCAATTTCTTCACTAATCTTAATCGTGCCTTTGATATTAGACCTGGTGATATTGGACTGTGGCCACCATTTACTTACAATGAAAATATGCTTCCTCCTTCCTTCTAATTGTCCAGGGATTGTTCTCTCCCATTTTGCTTATTATTTTCAGCACATGACCTCAAATCTTGCCTTCAATTAAGGAGAGTGAACATGATATTCTCTGCCATTCATGAGTTGGTAAACTTCTATGTAGTAAGTGCCAAAATGATATAGCATTGGTGATGAACAATCAATGAGGAACAAGAAGCAGGAGAGGCTTGCAACAGCAAAGTAGAAAAGGGAGAGATGGAAATCATAAAATCCCAAGGTTATAGTTGGGATTACGTTTTCCACTTACCCCTGTTTTATGGGTTACCATAGGCCGAGGAAAATTGTGGTTCCTGGATAACTTTGTTTAAAAAAAAAAAAAAAAAAAAAAAGAAACTCATAAAAAATGCCCAATTTAATACCCTGAGCAGATTTTTCAAGGAAAGTCAAACGTTGTTGCACAAATGAAACCTACGGGTATTTACAGTAACCAGCATCTGTCAAGCTTTCTAGGCTAATGGGACTAATATAGGTTGGGTGGTTTAATATATTTAAAACATGAAATGAAACGGCTATTATGGCCGGATCTTATTAAATCTTGCCAGTTGTTGTCTTTTGTCATTTTGCGGCCATCCGTCCTTTGTTCATTTTTTTTTATTTTAAATATTGCTATGTGCTTGATGTCAATATCACTTGTGGAATATCTGTTTGATTTGTTTTATAATGTCTTTCAGGTGATCAAGGCACTTATAGAAATCAGCTGGAAGAATTCTTGGGCAGAATTAGTTCATTGTAAGCTTATTTCTTTGTTAACCAACATGTTTTATCAGGTTCCTGATGAAGCCACTGATGCTGTACCGAGCACGCCTAAGTTTCTTGTGGATCAGCTTGATCTGATTGGAGGAGTTCAATTTATTTTAATTGGGGTATGCATGTCTTGTAACACAATCTTCATATAACTCGAGTCTGAGGGGAAAATGACTGCTGTTATTTTTTCTCTGAATGTTAAGTTACGAATGTATACTGTTCCTGCCTGTGGGAGAAGGGTAGGGTGAAGTCCTGAGCTGTTGTCATTGTATATTGCATAACCTTTTCCCTGTTAAATGCAGTATTCCCTTGCAAACTCAAGTGAAGAGAGGAGAAATTTGTATTCGGTGCTTTTTGACTATGTTCTTCATCAAATAAATGAAACATGTATAGCTACAGGAGTCAACGAATATAGTGATGATGAGATTCAACCTCTTGCTGTGTTGCTTGCTCAAACTAATGCAGCCGAGGCATTTTATATATCTGTTAAACTAGGGGTAGAAGGCATTGGTGAAATTTTGAGAAGGTCAATAGCATCTGCGCTGTCCAGATATCCTAACAGTGAACGATTAAATATGGTACATCCTTGTTATTTTCCTTTGTCAGTTGGCAATATAGTTTGAGAGGAACTATACTTTTTTATGAATTTTTATTTTATTTTTCCTTAACCTCTCTCTTGGTTAGTGCTTGTTATGTAGAATGGCTGGACATCAATAGGACATTAAACCATAGGTTCAACATCTAAATCCTACAAACTGCACAAAATATCTGGTTTCTGTTTCCACAGTTTTGTTTTTGTTGGTGTTGGGGGAAAATGCTGCTTTTTGGATCATACGTGCAGAATGAGAACTATCTATATTTCTCTTTATCGTTACCTGATAGTTTTTTTTAATACCCATAGCAATTAGAAAGATTATTCTCCAATGAAAAGCAAGATTATATATTCATTTTCGGTGAAAATATGGTTTTTTTTTTTTAAATACCCACAGCAATTAGAAAGATTACTCTCCAATGAAAACCAAGATTATATATTCATTTTGGGGGAAAACGAAGCATACAGGAAATGTTAGTGTACATGCTTTTGCAGTTTTGTATTACTTGTTACTGCCAAGGTACTTCGGATGATATCAGTAGTTTATGGTAACTTGTGATGTGCTCAGTTCAATTTTAGGTTAATATTCTATTATTCACTAATCATTGTCCCATCCATTTTGCTATGATGCTACCTGACTTGATATTTTGTTTTTCGTTTTCCTCTTATATTTGTTTAATAAAATCTCTCTAAACTTTTGGCCGAAAGAAAACTTCTCTAAACTGTATTGTGCTTATTTCTTTTGGTTGTTTGCAGCTCTTGGAGATCGTAGCAGAGAAATTTGATGTAATAATAAGTTCATTCACTCATTTGGACAAAGAGTTCTCTTATATGATTCAGATGACGAAATCACACAAATTTCTGGAACATATCGAAGGCGTGGCTCTAAGAAATGGTGTTGGTCTGAAGGCAAAGCTCTCATGGACCACTTTACACTCCCTTCTTCACTCTGAAAGAATGGCTTGCCGTCAAAATGGTTATATATGGTTAGGTGATCTGCTTATTGCTGAAATTAGTGGGGGAAGGGGTGGAAGTATATGGTCAAATATCAAACACTTCCTGCAGAAAATTGCTGATCCTGGAATTCAGGATTCTTCAGATGCACCAGATGTACCTTTGCCTATATCACTTATGTGTGGACTTTTAAAGTCAAAACACAACTTTATTCGATGGGGGTTCCTGTTTGTTCTTGAAAGGCTTCTTATGAGATGCAAATTTTTGTTAGATGAGTATGAAATGCAGCATGTTAGCAGCACTGATGGGCCTGAGCAGAAAGATTGGCATCTAGAGAAAGCCAATGCTGTGATAGACATAATGAGCAAGGCTTTGGGGCTGGTGTTTCAGATAAATGAGACTGACCGTATCAATATTCTAAAAGTAATTGTTTCTGAGCTCAAAATGACTTGTTGCAAAAACCCTTTTCACGTCTTACTAATACATAGAAAGGCATGGTGAGCCACAATAGCGATGGAAAATCTGTTGGAAGTAAATATGCATGTTGTTTATCTAGCTACTCTATCAAGTAATAGAAGAATCAATACCTTGATATTGTGGATTGCCCTAATACAGAAACTTTCTTATGTGAGTTATGTAATGTGTGATCTTAGAAATGTGTCTTTCGGAAAGGAAAGGCGCACTTTCCATTTCCTTTCTAGAAAACACTTTTCTACATACCAAATATTGCATTAGTCTTTGCCTTTAGTTATTAGTAAATTCTGATAGAGCTAGGTCTTATATAATGGCTTCCATATGCTTGGAAATGGTTTAACTGATGATGTTTAACAAGTCTTTTATGTTAAACTAAATGCCCACAGAATCTGAAATCAATAGGAACCCACATGGGCGAAAGAAATGCAAATGAGTTTAGATTAACAAAGTTTCCTGAAGAATAAATTCACTTATAAAATTTGTTTGTGATTATTTCCGGAGCAGCATATGAGAGTTTTCTGTTCAAGTCTCTATTCCCAAGTGTTTTATGATATATTAGTCCTAACTTTCCCAATTCTCTTTCTGAACAGATGTGCGATATTCTATTCTCACAATTGTGCCTTAGAGTTCCGCCTGCAGCAGCACTGTCCTTTGGAGATGATATGCAAATTGACAGAAGTTTAAAATGCCTGAGTCAAAATAAGAAGTTGGATGGTGATAATCGACTCCTCAGACAAGATACTTTTCAATGGGATGAACTTAACAAGGAAGAAGTTGACCCAAGATCCAGCTACTCTAATAGCTTCTATCTGGATCACGAAACTGCATCGATGGCAGCACTTCTTCTAAAAGGGCGAGCCATTGTCCCAATGCAATTGATTGCCCGTGTTCCTGCTGCCTTGCTATACTGGCCATTAATCCAACTGGCTGGAGCAGCAACTGACAATATTGCATTGGGTGTTGCTGTCGGAAGTAAAGGAAGGGGAAACCTTCCTGGTGCTACATCAGATATTCGAGCCACCCTTCTCCTACTTCTTATTGGTAAATGCACTGCAGATCCTCCTGCTTTCCAGGAAGTTGGTCACGAACAATTTTTTAGGTATTTCTAAACTTACTATGTTGATATGTTCGCTGTGGTTGAGTTGGCTTATTAGTATGACATTTCAAGCAATGAATCCTTCTTTCGTGCAGGGAACTCTTGGATGACACAGATTCCAGGGTAGCATATTACACTTCTGCTTTTCTTCTGAAGGTAGGAATTTGATTTGATTATTTGATGTTTAGTCTTTTTGCAATACATAAAAGTTCTTACATTATTAAATATTAATTTTTGTAAAAATTTTCATTTTGTGCAGCGAATGATGACTGAGAAACCTGAAAAATATCAACATATGCTTCAGAATCTTGTTGTCAGAGCACAGCAGGTACCTCCATCTTCAGTAATTTGATTGTAACTCCACTGATAGTGTTATCAAAACTTAGGCTGACAAATTTAATTTAGCAGTTAATTTTCATATGTGGTTCATGGCTTTTCGAGAAGTCTTACAACTGTCATTAATCATTAATCAATGAAGTAAAGTACATAAATAGTGGCTCTTGGAGAAAAGTTCTTAGCCGCAGCTGGTTAGAAGGTTAACATGACAGTGTCTGAGAAGAATATACCAGTAGATCTGAAGATAATCGTTGGTGCTTATGCTTCATATGGCAAACTAGTGATAAGAATTTGAGGTTTACTTGTAGATTGGCTTTTGGAGGACCTGTGAACTTCTTGAGCTCTATAGGTTGCTTGGTGTAAGGCTCAATTTTTCCCACTTGATTGTGCGGTTCATACTTATCAAACTTTTGGGAAGAGAAATTTTGATCCATCTTGGTTAAAGCCACTCTAGCTTATTTCCAATAAGATAGCAGCCAGTGAAGGACTACATGCATCTTGGCTAAAATATTCAGTCCAAATTGGTAGGGTTAAAAATTATGAACCAGCATGAAACTTGAACGGAATTACTTTTACTAGCGTAATATTTTGGAAAACAAAAATCACAGATCGTGAAACAGGTTTTCATATAGGCTTTAATGCAGTTGACGGTTAAATATATTTACAGCAAAAGGCTTAAAACCGTTTGGTTGGAGTAAAGGCTGAGTTTAATATTGTATGTTATGCTGTTCCTGTCAAGCTGATTAAGCTTATTCTGCAAAGGGAACATTGGTCCATTGTGGCAAAGTTATGCCAGCGCTGGATATACTGCAAGTTGCAAATACCTAATATTTGTATAGATTCGTGACCTACGAAGCATGAATACTAACGCATGCACAAATAAGCCGGTGATAAAGTCTGGAGTATCCAGGAACTATTAAAGCTTTACATTGTCTCTCTTGAATGTCGCTGATGTGTCACATATTGACAGACTTCTTTAAGGCGTTGACTTTAGCAAGACCATATTGTATTGCTGGTATCCCAAAGGACATGGATTGATGCCCTATGTGCTAGTGAAAACTATTTTTCTTTTGAATACCCTGACGTTTGTTTGCTTCACAGTTTTCTCATTGTTCTTATCCCAGAAAGGGGACTTCTGAAAAAGGGGGGGGGGGGGAAAAGAGAGCATACTTACATGTTTGTGCTTTGTTTTGTACTGCGCAGAGCAACAATGAAAAATTGTTGGAGAATCCATACCTTCAAATGCGTGGAATAATTCAATTGGCAAATGACCTTGGAATTGACTTGTGATCTTGCTCGACCTGGCTTTCTGGGGGGTAATATTTATTGATTTGGAGTGGTGCAGAAGTTTGAGCATTAATGGGAGTTGAAGCTCTGGATCTTTCATCATCTATCATTCAATTGATGTGATTGACACACCTATATCCAGATACAAAAATATTAATGTTTTTCAAGCTTGTCCAGAAGGGTATTCTTGTGATTGTAAAAACAGGCCAGTGGGGTAAAGTGTGCTCATATGTTGGATTGTTCTGAGAAATATTTGACAATTAGGAAAATAAACAAGTACGTGCTGAAAGACCTCAATGCCTATCGGTCTCCTGTCAAATTACACGTTTGGTGAGCCATGTTAGATTTTGCCATGATCTCCTGTCTTCAGCTTGTGTTGGAACCATTGAGGGGCCTGTTCATTTGGGAAAACCCCTGTAAGTTTGGTAATGGACTGAAAGTCAGGGATTGGTAGCATTTTAAGTGAAAATTCTTTGTCAAGGGATAGGTTTGGAGATCCTTCATTGTGGATGCGGCTGCTGAATGTTGCTGATCTAAGCCTTGACGTATTCTCAGGTAACTTCCTTCTCTCTCTATGACTATTTATTTACGTCGTTCCAGTTCATAAGCCTGTTTTTCTGTCTGTCCTTGGATGATGGGTTTATTTTGGTGGATTTGTCTGATTCAATTTGACAATACTCTTCCGGTCGTAAATGTAAAACCCATTTTATAGTATTAAGTTACACTATAATTATACTATAAAATGGGTCCTACCGGGGGGGAGTATATTTTTCCATAATTGCTTTAGAGAGAAACTAATCTTATTTTTATCCCAAAATTCACACCAAGGAAGTTACCTTAGCAACATGTTTTGCCTTCATCTTGTTTGTTTGTAGATGGTGCGAGCAGGCATGCACTGCATTCTGGTGAGACTCTGCATAACTTCACGAAGGTTGTTTCTTTTGTACAGGCTTGGATTTTCATGGAGCCTCCATCTCTTTTGGTCATTTTTGAAGGTGGCCTATATGCTTGCCTTTTTTACTGGGCATACAGGGCCTTCAAGGAAAGAACACTCTAGATTTGTACATTGTCACGCTTCAACCCAATTTGTTGTCAGGGGTATCATAGGATGGCTACTTTTAGAGGCATCCTAGCTGCCCCTTGTTTCGTGTAAATATTTTACCTCTTATTTATCTCATCTTTTTTTTTTAAAAAAAAATTGATCTGACACTTCAATTGCGAAAATTGTAACATTTCTTGAGAAATTATGTAGATCTTTGTAGGGTTTATGCGGCGCAAAGCTATATAGGGCAATTTGGTATGCAGTTAAAACGTGCGAGTTTTGGACCATTATGGAATGTTTTTGTCGTTCTACTGTTTTCATGGAAAACGAAAAATATTGTTTCTGCGGGATGCTAGAACTATATTGGTTGAAGGATGACGAAACATTTATTTCGGAGATTACGCATATATGTACATACGCTTGTTTCTTCCTATAATTTTCTCTACAACTTTCCCGTTGATAGTCTCCGTGACTAGTGTTAGAAAATACTCCTCCTGTCCTTAATATAAGACCCATTTAATTAATTTGATTAGATTAAGGAAGTTAGGTAAGTTAGGTAATTATAAAAAAAGTGACACATTTTTCCTAAAACACCATAATAATCTTTCTTAATACCCCTTCTCCCTCTTCTACTTGATTATGGTTGAGAGTATCCATAGGGGTAATTTAGAGAAAATTGATAAATGTGAGAAATGGGTTTTATATTTAGGACCAAAACCAACTCAAGAATTGGGTTTTATATTAAGGACCGGAGGAGTATTAATTTGGTTAGATTAAGAAAGCAATGTAAATTAGTTGATAATAAGAAATATGATACTACTTCCGGTTTTTAATATAAGATCTTATTTGATATTTATTTTGGTTTAAAATATAACATCCCAATTCATTTTTTTCTCATATTTATGTATTTTTTTTCAAGGTAGTTTTTTCTAACAATGGTAGTTCTAGTTAATACACTTGATTAGTAAAAATATTTTAGAAAGATAATACCTATTTATTATAAATAACCAGTTTAACTTTTTTTTCTTAATATTCTCAAATTAGTCAATTAGTTCTTATAATTAGGACCGGATGTGGTATGTTTTTTTTAAAACATTATAATCATTTTTTTTAATATCCTTATTTTCTTACCTACTTGATTATGGTTGAGTGAGTATTTTGAAGGATAGTTTAAAAAAAAATTGATATATATGAGAAATAGGTTTTATATTTAGGATCAAAATTAATTTAATAATTAGGTTTTATAATAAAGATCGGAGGAGTGTAATCTTGGCGGGATTTGGAAGGATTATGTGGCGTCTCGCTTTGAATATTTCTTTCCTTTCTAAATAATTACAATTATTTTTTAAAAACTTATTTTATAATATACTACCGTCTATTGTTTGTTCCTCGGGAACACGCAGCAAATTAGAGGATATTTAGAAACATCTAGATCTCGCACGCTTTGGGTTTTCTTGGTGCTTTAGTTTCATCCAATTGGGCCTCTTGGGCTATCTTGCTCAACGTACTGTTGTATTTGGGTAAACATTGCGCGAGTCCTATATAATATAGCAACATACAAGTAACCTTGCACCTTCAAAAAAAAAGAGGAAGTAACCAAATTGCAGAATTTTTCAATTTTCAATTTGGTATGTATACGTTTTTTCTCTGTTAATTAAATTTTTAAATTTTCCCTAGCAGCATTGTTAACCTTTGCATAAAGGCTAAATACACTAGTGGAACAAATTTATAAGAGCTAATGTCATTGAAAAAAAAATAAAATCAAATGATTTACACCCTCCACTTCTTTTTATAAGATTCTATTAATTAAATTACACGATTTGAGAAAACAGTTAAAAACTAGTTAAAAGTAATAAGTATGTAAAAATTAAACTTCTTTTTGAAGTATGTTCTTATTTAATGAGAGAGCATATAAGAGAGAGAAATATTAGTAATAAGATAAACGATAAAAGAGAATGAAATGTAAGAAAAAAATGAGGAGAGAGAATAAAAAATTAATTAGAGGCAAATTTAGTAAAAATGTATTTAATGTTCAGACAATTCTTCATAGGATTTTATAAAAAAGACCAAACAAATTCAAATTTTGGGATCTTATAAATAGTATTAGAGGGAGTAATTAAGAGGAAAAAATACATACGTATCAAATTAAAAATTGAGAAAAGTATAAGTACCTCCAATATGGTTTTTTTAAAAAAAATTAGTTAAACATACTAAGTTTATGAGAAAATATTTTATTTTGAAAAATATTTTTATTTATAAAGAAAGAGAGTGAATGAGGGATAGTGAAGAGGGAAAAGAGGCAGGTGAGAAATGATTAGTGTGCCAATTTATTTCATATCATCATGATTTTTTAATTTTTATTAATTTTTTACCTTCTTAATGAACTTATATTTAGGATTAAAAATATTTTATAAAAAACTTATAATAAGGATCAAATGATAGTAATATAATATGTAATCAATAGGAATAACAATGAAAAAAACTGATTCAAATTTCAGACATTTTAAGTGTATGTCATGGATAAAGAGCAGTAAAAACAAAAATCTACAAATGCGCTATATATAATAGAGGTTTTTTTTTTTTTTTGCTAAAGTATAAGTATTCTCTTATTGGAAGCAATCATATTCAAGCTATTATCGGGTACTAAATGTAGACACCTCTCTCAACAGAAACTTGAATTTTGATTCGTCACGTTATGAAAAACTAGTTCTTTCTGTTAGACCTAACATTTATATATAAAGAGTTAAAAAAAAAAAAAAGGAGAATGTTGTTGGTTAAGGGAAAAATACAGGAGAATGCTAGTTTATTAAAAAAAAAAAAAAAGAACCAATCGCTGTCCTGGCGTCCGTTGCCTCTATTCTTCTTCGATCTCCATTCCGTCCACAGAGAGCAGCCATTGGGCACGCAGCTGCTGCCGCGATCTTCTTCGGCCTACATTGAGGTGCGCTCTTACTTCTTTCTTTTGCTCGCCTTTTTCCGTTCGTGTCACTTTGTTCTGCTCTGGTTCTTGCTTGTTGCATTTCTGTTTCTTTCAATTCGAGCATGCTTTTGGGTTCTGCTAGTCCGTTGTTCTGCTCTGTTTTTGCATCTGATGTAAATTAAGAAGGGGCGTAGATCGTTCTCACGCAAATAGATGTTCCCAAGAAAGTCTTTTGGGTCCCGGTCGCTGTCAGCATAAGCCCTAACCGTGCTGCCCTCCTTTACCTGAACCCTAGTTGGACTGCAGTCGACCGTCGACGACTTGCTGTAGAAGAGCTTCTTAGTTATTCGTCGATTCAGGTACCTAACTTCTTTCCCCTACCCCTCGCCATCTTCTGTTCGGATGTGGAACAGTTCGGATGTGAAATCTAATTGCTATTCTTTTCTTGCGTTACCTTTTACTTCCATTCTGCTGCGCCATTCTTCTTTTGAAATCCAATAGTCTGATAGATTATGTCCTAAATTTTTTATTTTTTTGGCCATGTCCTAAATTATATTATGCCTCCATATAATGTTTGATATCACTGTAAGCTGTATTCCTTCTTGAAACTGGAGTTTCTATTCACCGAAGCGTGACAATTTTTCAAACCTGAATTACACTGTTGAAGTTGGTTAAACAGTATCAGATAGAATAACGCAACGAGTCCCAATTGCAGCGAACTTGTTTCCTTATTCGGTCTTGGCTACTTAATATCAACTCTTGCTTCTTATTATTCTTCATGCGACATCCCATTTTGATGAGACCTGAGATCGAATATTTTTGGAGTCCCATGACAGCCTCTTAGATGTATTCAGCTCTCAATTCTCAAGCTACCTGTTTACTGAAAAAGAGTTGTGATTATTGTAGTTTATTTATCGTCATAAGAATCATCACTGGGTGTTTGGTGCCCTTTATTCGGGATATTTGCTATGCATATTCCATTGATATTAACTCTTCATTTGGATAGCTTCTGCGTTAATATTGACCTATTTAAAACAATGGGCTTCTAATTGTGTTTTGAAGTGATTGGTCTTTAAAAACAATGGGCCTCTGATTGTGTTTTAAAATGATTGGTCTTATGTTTTCGTCTTTGCCCTTGGATTGAGTAGCATCCAATTAGTTGCTGAAAAGTTTAGGGTCAGATCCGGGAGAATATTAGTATGTTAAAGTTAAACATGGGATGGGAGCAGCGTAACCAATTTCCTGAGTTGATGTTGACCTTTGTTTGCAGTGCAAGTTTGCAAGTTGGAATTTTAAAAGGAAGGAAACTTTATTTTCACTTTTGAAGGTAGTGAAATGATCGAAACTTCTTTCCACTTTTTATGCTTATTGAAATGAACTATTTTATCCTAAACTAAATGAACTGGCAAGCAGAGTTTGAAATTTTTATCATTTAATATTTTGATTTCTCTTTAGAAAACCTCTGTTTGACTTGTGCCCGTAAGGGAACAGTCTTTCTCTTGTGCAATGCTGAAAGCTGTTTGTTTGATAACTGATTATTTTTTCACCTTGATAGTTTTTATCTGAACATATTGATTGGATAGCTTTTCTGATAATGTTTGCTTATTAAGTAGAATACACATAGTTTGGTAGAAAATGTGGCAATTGATCTTCCAATGTCATGTTTCGTCTGACAGATAGGAAAATGCCTAAAGTAAAGACTAACCGCGTTAAATATCCAGAGGGATGGGAATTAATTGAACCTACCCTTCGTGAACTCCAAGCAAAAATGAGGGAAGGTAATATATGTCTTGCATGCTTTACCAAATTTATTATGTTTTCGGGACTGTTTTATAATGTTTATTTCTGTGGCAGCGGAGAATGATCCACATGATAATAAGAGAAAATGTGAGACATTATGGCCTATATTTAAGATTGCACATCAGAAGAGCCGCTACATATTTGACCTTTACCACCGGAGGAAGGAAATTTCAAAGGAATTGTATGAATTTTGTTTAGAACAAGGATATGCTGACCGCAACCTGATTGCAAAATGGAAGAAGGTACTTCTCATGACTTATACAAATTTGTACCATGAATAATATATCTATTGTGCTTAGTGCTCTGTAATATGAATTTAAAGTTGTGAACCATCCATTGGAAAACTCTGATTATCGCCGTTAAAATCATGTGTAGCATATCTTAACAAACCTTGTCCTTGTTTGAAATTGCAGCCTGGCTATGAACGTTTATGTTGCTTGAGGTGCATGCAGCCACGGGATCACAACTTTGCCACCACCTGTGTTTGCCGAGTTCCCAAGCAACTGAGAGAGGAGAAGGTCATAGAGTGTGTTCATTGTGGTTGCAGGGGCTGTGCCAGTGGGGACTGATTGGCAATTGCAAGGAGAGATCTCATGATTTATTTGTAAATTAGCCTTGTTTCGAGGTTGTATTGCCAACTCTGTAAGGATAATATTTGATAATTAACGGCATAGTTTAACTTAAATATCGGACCGGACTCTGTTCTTTAAGATGTATTACCTGATGTACTTTTGCTATCCCCATGAAAGTTGAAGTCTATGAGAATATTAATTGTAATATCATTTTGGTTTTACATTTAATTATTATTTTTTAATGATTAATAGTTAAAAGTAGTAATTTTCATTCTCCATTTTTATCCTTCGAAATTTAAAAAAAGGATACGGTTATAAAAAAAAAAATAATGAATCTATAACATTATGGTTTCAGGTTTGGTTGTGACTTTATAAAATCTGATAAATATGTTGGGCTGACGATTTTCCAAGCGATGCTTTGCTTCTCTGGCAGAGAAGCAAAGACAAATCTTCACAAGAAGGCTTCATTTTTGGCTTTTAAAATTCCATTCAAATAATTTTAAGAAGTTTGCTTCTACTCTCAAATTTCTTTTTAGCACCAGGCTACACTCAAAACATAATTAAATTAAGGGTTAAGAGGTAATATTTGGTATGAGAGAAATAGAGGAGAAGGAGGGGGACATTTTTTTTTTAATGAGTTTCATTTAAAAAATTGACGAAGTGAGGCTTAAAATTTTAATAAAGAAAAGAAATAATATAAAAGAGTAATACAAATTAATTAACCTGGTAAAAAATTGATTAAACCCGCTTATTCAAATTTTTTAAATTGAGTTCATTAAAATTTTCTCTCCCCTCCCTTCTCCTCAATTTCTCTCATACCAAACAAATCCTCAAATATTTTTTAGTATATTCAGTATTCTAAAGTATTTTTTGTGTGTGCATCTAACCGCCAAAAATATTTTTTGATGTATTCGGCATCAAAGCAAAAAAATACTTCAAAGTGCTCGATGCCTCTAAAAAATATTTCAAGGTGCTAGATACGTCACAAAATATTTTAAATTATTGGACAGTTCAAAATGTTGGATACAGATGAAAAAATGCACTGGATGCACCTTAGCCGTTTAGATAATGTGGTTTTTACTTTTTTTTTTCCTACCAATAAACAAGTGTAAATTGTTTGGCCTCTTATACATCCACGGTGGTAGTAAATCTTCGTGACTTTTTTAGCTACTGTTATGTGTACTGGCCGGTGTGTTGTCATATGTGGGCCTGCGTAATAAAAAAAAACACAAGTGTGGTTTTATACATTATATGGACTCTGAAAAGAAGACACTGTTTTACAAGTTTTTATGTCTTATACTTCAAAAACAAAATCAAATTACATACATGTCTCTTGTATCTTCTGTGCGTAAATTTTAATTTTACCTGGTTTTCTATATTGATGTTTGTTTTCAAAATAAAAAAACAAATTATAAAAAATTGTTTTGAATTCCATTAAAATAATACTGTACCGATTTTTTTGACAGATATACTGATATTTTCATTTTAAAATATGTATATGTATATTTCAAAAAAATAAAATCGTATGTAATTTTAAAAATTAGTTATTGTTTTACATGGCTTATTATCCATTTTGAAAAAATTTCATGCATTTTAAAAATAAATAAAAGTTATGTAATAATTAAAAAAAATAATGATTACCAAAAAACTCTTTTTCCCCCGTCAAACGAGGAAAAAAAGTCATACCAAGGACATAATGGTCATTCGGTAATGGTAGGAAGCAGTGCCGCCCGCCTTCGAGTTCTTTTCTTCGCTGGGCAGGCGACCATTTTTCTGGCTGTCGATTTTGTCTGCGTTGCTTTGCCTCCAGAAAAGCTTAGAGAGAGAGAGAGAGGGAGGGAGGGAGAGAGGGAGGGAGAAAGAGAGGGAGAGGGGGGATGGAGGAGTCTGGTGAGCTTGGGGTCCGAGCTATGGCGTCGGAGCCCGCAAATGCGACCCCCAATCTTAACGCGCCCTCCAAATCCAGAGAAGAAGGCGAGCTGTCCTCCTCCGGCGACGTATTGTCTTCTCTACCCTCTGTGATCTTACGTTTTCAACTCAGGACATTTTTTTCTCTCTTAAATTTTTAATCTAATTCTTCTTCGTTGACTTGGGTTGGGGCGGGGGAATACCCACACGAGGGAATGTGACAAGAATATGGCAAAAGTCACACTTTATTTGCGTTATGTAGATTCAGTTGGTTAAAATATGTTGTTCAGGTTAGTTTTCTGCTTGTTTTATCAGTCTGCTGTTGCTTTTGTTCATTCTCGATGAGGGGCGACTGTAGGATCCGATGTCTAGATTAACTACACTTAAACCTGTGGGACTAGGTAGCATTGTTGGATGATTTTTTCCCCTTCATTTTTTTTAAAATTTTTTGCCAGTTGTCATCTTGTTCTGTATTTTTGTATTCCCGGGAGGAGGATTCCTCAGCCTCTTTTTTTTTTTTTTTGGTCTTTCTTTACTCTCTCTATGATCCAGGAAAAAAAATTGAGAAATGACAGTTGGATGACCCCATGAAGGTGTTATTTGGTTTTCTTTTTCATGCATTTTTAATTTTAATGGGTATTTTGTCTTTCAGGAAGTCCCTGCGTGCAACCCTGGAAAACCCTCCCCTGCTGTAGTGTTCAATTCAGTTTCTCAAGCCGTCAATGATACTCAGGCCATTCAGGGTGGTAAGTCTTGCTAACTGTCAACTAAGGGAAAGCTGGGGTCTGCTTTTTGGATCTCTAGATTTGCTTTCTGACTTGACCAGGGTTTATTTCTGTTCATAATATGCCAAAATCTTGTTAATTATGTTTTGTCTTATGGAGTTGGAAACTGCACGTTTGCTCGTATCACTTTATTGTAGTTTTGTTGTAAATGCTGTCTCGGTGCTTTTTGTATGATATGTTCATTTCTTTATCTACTGGTTGGAGTTTACCATATCTGAGTTTATTGTACAACATCTTCCAAATTAAATCATAGTCTTAAGTAATGTCCTAAGGTTGGCCTTTTCGTTGTGATATTTTTGCAGGTGCTAAGGGTATACAGTTGCAGAAAACCATGCAACCAGTTTCTCAGAAGAGATTTAACAGGAACCAATTACCGCCTAAATCCTCAATGTGGCCTACTCATGCAGGCACTGATAAAAGTCTTGTGATCAGCTTCTCTGATGATGATAGTAGTAGCGACTCTGAAATCAGAAAACAGGATAAAGCTGTTGAATCTAAATGTAATACTTCCAGATTGGATAGCAATCAGAAGCCGCCTTCTTCATCCTCGGCAAAATCATACAAGTTACTGAGTGGTGCTAAAAGTGTAAACAAGTCAGTGCCTAAAAGATCACCATTAAATCACACATCTTTTTCATCAGTAACCAAAATTCATGGTTCTAATTCTAAGGTTGCTGGATCCTTCCCACCGGGTCAAGGATCTCGATCTAGAAATTTCTATATTGTGAACAAAAATTTAGCAAGTCAGGAGCGTAAAAATGACCAGGGAGTGGTATCAAATAACAATAAACTTCAGGATTTGCGACAGCAGATCGCAATTCGGGAGAGTGAGCTGAAGTTAAAGGCAGCCCAGCAAAATAGGGACTCTACTTCAACTTTGGGAAGGGATCATAATGCCATCAAACTGAAGAGTGACACTGCTAGAAAATATACTTATTCAGAGAATGCGCCATTGGAATCGAAGGAGCCAGATAAGAAACGATTAAAACTTGGCAGATCTTATGCTAGCCCTCAAGCTATTGAAAGTCAGCCAGAGGTTCCTGCTACAAAGTCTGTGTTGCCATCAAAAGAGTCTGCATTTGAGAATTGCAATCCACGAGATAGAAATAAGGTTAATCATGGTGTGAAAGAGACTCCATTACGCATAGGAGAGAAATTAGTTGTCAAGCCGCAGGGTCATGACAAACGTCTTGACATTTCATCTCAAACTATGCAATCTAAACCCAGATCTGGTAGGTACTTGTCTTTATATTTCTTGTATGCATCCTCATTAATAGAAGAAATGCCTTCTAATTAGTGTTTTCTTTTAATAACTCATTACCTTTTGTAATGTGGTGGTTCTCCATTATCTAGTGATAAGGTCATATAAAGAGGCTGTCATGTAAAATTCAATGGCTTATTTTAGACGGTCAAGATTTATATGCCTCTTGTAATTTTAGGTTGGATGTATTTGTTGCTGATTTTGCATGTTTCAAGTTGCATAGACGCAAATGTTAAGTTTTGTATAGAAAATTTACAGGGGTTGTGCAAAAGGTCAATGCTCGTGGGGTCTATGGTTAACTTAAAAGTTGAGGGTTAATTGCATAGCTTTCTAAGTTGTTATAGTGTTTCTATTAACTTTGGTTGAGTTATTCCGTTGACATGTCATAGAATTTGTGAAATTTGTTGTCCAATTGCTGGACTCTATTGGCATAAATGAAGTGTGAGTAGAATAACGTGCTAGTTGCTTGATTGAAACTTAGCCCACTTATCTGTCAATATATTGTGCGAGTCTCTTTATGTTAAAAATACCTCATGATGTTATCTTAATGTACAGACACTTGTGTCGATAATAACTTCAACCAGACGGACAAACATAGTAGGGTGGCTGACTCTTGTGTTAATTTCAACCAAAATGGTCTTCCAGCAAATTTGATCTCCAATAGTGTTCCAACGAGTACAGTAAGTTATAATTTAGTATACGTGACATTTTCTTTAGTTAGCAACTTGACTGAAAACTTCACTGCTGCCTTTTCCATTTAGTTATTGGCCATCACATGTGTTCTTGTCTTTGAGAAATTCGTTGGTGTCGAAACGACTGAGTCCTAAGAAATTTTCTCAATCTGCCATATTTTATTCATGACGTCTAGTGTTTATATAGATATACGTGGGGCAACAAGCCTGCCTCCTAACAAGGATAATGATCTAAATCTATCTAAATCCCTCAAAGAATAAAATAAAATAAATAGACAAATCTGACTTGATAAAGATAATTTTAAGGGATAAAATGCTAATAAATAGAATATCGAGTAAATAATAAATAAATAATAAACTTCTTGAGACACACAGTTCAACTGTTGGTGTTGGTTAGAAATCTTTTACGATTAGAAAACTATAAATTGACACTCTACTGATTGATTATCATGTGATGAATGGATTTGTTTGGTTTATAAATACTGCCCCTCTTCATTGTTATTTTCTCAAGAGTGGGAGGCACCTGTAGGTGTGGATCGTAGGTGGGGCAAGATAAAATTTGGATCAAGATACCTATTGTTTCTACTTTTTCACATTGTTTTGATTTTGGAATTGGAATATCTCTGTGATGCTTCTGTTTCTTTCAACCCTGTGGAAAAGTGTCGAGTCAGTTCATGCACCAAGTTCCTCCTTGAATAAAGTCACAAATGCTAAAAATATGAAAAGTTCCTTGAAGTATGACAAACTCATATCTTGAGATAACATGATTAGGACACTCAAAAATGCAAATCAGGTTTTGTTATTGTGGTCCTCAAAGCTAATTAAAGGATTTCGATATATGTCACACCTTTAACCTTTAATGTCATTGACTCTCTTTGCTTCTCATTCAGGAACTGTTAAACAATTTTAATGATCAGTCAAATGACTCTGAGCATAGCAACATAGATTTGAATTCATTTTTTGAAATGGAAGAATTGATAGACAAGGAGCTGGAGGAAGCACAAGAGCACAGGCACAGGTGTGAAGTTGAAGAAAGAAATGCTCTTAAAGCTTACCTGAAAGCTCAGAGGGCTTTGATTGAGGCTAATGGTCGATGCACCAATCTTTACCACAAAAGGGAATTGTATTCAGCTAAGTTAAAATCTTTAATTTTGAACAATTCCGGTTTTTCTTGGTCCTCTGGCCAGCATGCACATCTTGATTCAGGGCTGGATTACCTTCCTAGACATGGATATGCAATACCCACATCAAGTTGTCAGAGGCAGGCTGAATTCAATGATGTTAACCAACTAGGGTTTGATACAACTAATGAAGATGTCAACAATGGACCCTCCAATGCAATGTATCATCATATGAATAGAGTGAATTTGGGGTCTGAACCTTGCAGTGAACCAGATGCCAGTACATCAGAGCCATTGCCCCGAAGGGGTAATAAAACTGTAGATGGAGTTAATTCTCCTTCTGATGAATTAGATACATCTGCTAATGATAATGGAGAGATGTCTCCATCTTTACATATGTCTACTGATCATGACAATGTAGATCAAAGAAGGCAATATTCAAACACCAACTTAATGGATAGAGATACTGCACCACATTCCAGACTTGGTGCTGAGGATCCTCAGGATTCTTTGCTTCTTGAAGCAGCATTAAGGTCAGAGCTGTTTGCAAGATTAGGTACAAGAGCTTCAAAGAGTAGCAGTACATGCAACAACCTAAGGCCTGCTGCTGAACAAGGGGATGAAAATGAGAATAGGAAGATACATGATGAAGTTGCCCCATTATCTCAAGCAGAAGAAAACGCTTTTAGAGGTAATTGCTTTTCTAATAGAACTTGCCCATATGTTTATACATGCCTGTTTTTTGTATGTGACTTAATTTCATGAATTTTGAGTTTGATTTGTGTTTGATAATCTAGTGGCTGTTGTATATATAGACCAATATCACCTCAAGTGATTAACTGTATATTCTTGAGGGAATTTCACTAAGTGGTTTTCATTAGTTGCTTCTAAAAGACTGGGAGGTGCGGTTCCTTGCATTTCTATAGAATTTTTATGGGCATGATGATGGGATCTGGAAGATGTATTATTAATGCCGAATAGGTTTTTGTGTACAGCTCATTGAGAAAATGGGCAAAATGAGACAAATTACACCAGAAGCAGTGAAACCAGGTCTAAATTACTGAATAAACAATGGAGATAAAATAGCAACGGTGAAGATAAGCTTTTCCTGACTTTCAAGAGGTGAGGACCTCTCCTTGCTCAAAACAGTCTTCTGCCCTTGGCTCAGCTGCACACAACCCTATTAATGCTCCTGCTCAGCCCTTGCCACCTGGAAGCCTTGTCAGAAGCCAACTCAGCCTCTTTAATTGACCCATTTGCTCCACTAACAGTTAATGGGCCTTTGTTCCTCCCTTTGTTGGAATAAGCTCTGCCAATAAATGAACCAGGCCCATCACATAATTTCTAGGCGGGTGATTTTGATAGAATATTATAGCCAGGATAAAAATATATACGTGAAGATTTTTCAAAATAGGTTCTTTTAGTGGTCTTCTAATGTTGCTTTCAAGTTGATCCAAACATCATTAGACAAGTAAGGAACAACTAAGACGATGCTGGTCACCTTTGTGGAAGATAAACAAAAAGGTGGAAAATTAGGTTGCTTTTCTCATTTCCAGTGACGCTTGATATTGGTTGAAAGTTGTTCTTTTACATATAATCATTGATCCTCATATTCTCCTGCCTTGCTAAAAATTTAGGGGGAAATGACACTTAAGTCTCTAAATATGAATTTAGTGACAGTTAAATCTCAAAAGAATTGTTGAAAGATAAGTTGCAAGTATTGGTTGAGACATTGCAAATGTGAAAGTCTTGTTCGCAAATGAATGAAAGCGGCTTATAAAAGTTAAATGCCTAATTGGCAACCGAGACTCTTGTATTTACTACTATCTGAGCCAATATTTGCAACTCAGTTTTTAACAAAAGTTTTTTGGGACCAAATTGTTATTAAATATATCTCTTGGGACCCAAGTGTCATTCCCCTTCAAATTTATTTTGGCTTGCAGCATGAAATTTCAGTTGAAAACAAAACAGTATTGCAAAGGCTTTAAAATGTTGCGTATGCCTCGTAGTGTTTTAACTTGCAAAAATGTTGGAACTACTTGGTTTGTTTGTTGCAGAGACGCAAGCTATTGACATCTTTAGGTATTGGCTATTATTTAGGGCTCAGCCAAATGCATCTTGGTTCTCAATTGTGATGTAGTTCATATTGGTTCTAGACCATCAAGTATTGATCAACACAAGTTTTTTTGCATATATTTTTATGTCTGTTTTCATTTTTAATTCTAGTTAATGAGAGGATGAAAGCAATATTTATCTGGCTCGTGCAGAAATTCAAAGTCAGCAAAACACTTGTAGAACTTCTTTGGTTTCCAATTACAACACTGCTTCAAGGGATCAAGGGTCTCTTGTTCTTCAACCTCAACACTCAATTGGTGCAATGAAGATATCACCATTGATTTTTAGGAGTGCATTTAGTCACCTGAAGGAAATGTCAAAATCAAATTCAAAACAATTACTGAGTAAAAATCAGTGGTTTCATGTTAATGATGGTGAAAATGAGAATAATAGTTGTCATGGTGCTACTAGAACAGAGTGTGGTAGTATGTTAGCAATGGCAGTGCCTACTGCTGGTTGGAATTTCGCTTCAGAAGAAAGCTCTTATAGCTGCAGTCCTGCAGTTGATCCATTTTGGCCACTTTGCATGTATGAGCTCCGAGGAAAATGCAACAATGATGAGTGTCCTTGGCAGCATGTTAAAGACTATAATGATAGAAACTATCAGAACCAGCACTCTGATAATGATGATGCAGGTATGAAAAATTTATGGTGAATGGTGATTTCAAACCTGTGTTTTGTCCCCTTTTTTTAGTATTTAAACATTTTGTTAATGTGTGACGATTTTTAGTGTGTTTTCTATATGATGTGCTTGGTAGCTGAACAAGATAACAGTATTGCTAACCAGAGATAAATAGGCTAACGGATTGGATAAGTAGTAGATGATACCTTTGATGGTGAACTATTGTGTTAGATAATACATTGTCTCGATTTCATCTCCCATAGTTTAAATGCTCCATGCAGTCTTTTTATTTTGCCTTTGATATTCTTCAGTCTCCATGATGAGCCCGTTAATAGACAAGTAACATGATTTTTGCACAGTGAATGTGCCTATTTAGTCCTCAATTTTTATTGTAACAGGGTTAGCAGACACCAAAAATGGTATGATGTTGTGACTAATTTGAGTTATATGATGTTTTGTCTGTATGTTTTAGTGAGGAATGCATATTCAGCATCTAGAACCTTTTTACTGGTGGACATCAAGAATTGAATTGATAATACCTTCGTGGTTTCTTTTCCTTGTAATTTTTTTTTTGGGCAGATTGTCAAGGTGGATTAACATCACATCAGCAAAGTGCAACTAAAGTTTTTAAAAGTCAAAAAGCTGCAATTCTGCCAACTTATCTTGTTGGCTTAGATGTTTTGAGAGCAGATCAACTTGCATATAAATCTGTCCTAACGCATAGAAATACTCAGTACTGGCAGAAGTGTTTCAGTATAACTTTAGCTACTTCAGATTTGCTTCAAAATGGTTTACCAGAAGATGGTCCGTTCTTGCATGGTGGTGATGAACGAATTGAAGTCCATGGGACCTGGAACAAACAATTATCTTGTTTACAGTGGAAAAGAGCTGTGGTTTGTTACTTCTATTTTTTCCTTCTTTCTTGTGATGCATTGCAATATCTGTTCATTTTCAGTTATATTCTCTTCAAATAGATTTAATCCTAAGCTTATCATTTCTGTCCCTGCCATAAAATAAAAAGTTATCCTGCTTTTTATCGTATGAAAGTTTGTAAGTATGATAAGCACTTTCATTTCTTGACTTGATGGAATTACTCAAAAAGTTTTGCTAAGATTTTGGTGCTGGGGAATTTCAACTAGTGAACGAAGCATTCAACTGAGAAAAACACTTGTTTATAGGAAAATTAGTTTCGCCAATTTTATGCAAAGATGAATTCTTTTGGACTATGTTGTAGTTTTGACATTAATCCTAGCCTTCTGTCAGGAGTGGCATAATTGGGAAATGAACTTATGTAAGAAAGTTTGAATTGATTTCTAAGTTCCTCCGAGCCAAACTAACCTATTTATATATTGTGTAAATAGAATCAAAATGAACAGGCTCTTGCTGCTAATGAGCAAGCTGTTGAGATGGCACTTCTTGTTCTCAATCAGGAAATCAATAAATTGGAGGGCGTAAGAAAGGTAACAGTTGTCTCTGTGCCTTGGGAGACCTGGTATATGATTGTATTATTGTATTTCCACCCTCTTCATCTCAAAATATGGATTTTGTAGGCTCTATCTGTGCTGTCTAGAGTTTTAGAGACTGATCCGATATCTGTGGTTATCTGGTTTGTTTATCTGCTGATTTACTATGGAAATTTGAAGCCGACTGGAAAGGATGACATGTTCCTGTATGCGGTATGTTTTCTACTTATATGTGGCTAGAGATTTAGGAACTTTTGAGAATGTTGAGACTCCTCTATTTATATAGAAATAGTAAACTATGGACACTGCACTGAACAATTTGTACATGTTTTCCGTTTGTATGACATTAGTCATTGGCAGCAGAAATCATACTTGTTTGGCACTTTTGGTTGTTTTCTTTTTCTCCATGCTGATACATATTTCTTGATATACGCCTTCTCATGTCCTATGATCAGTTATTTGGGACCATCTAACCATCCAGCTAACCTGGGTTTGTGATTTTCTGTCTTGTGCTATGTCACATTTCACTCCAATTCTTTTGCAGTTATATGTTTCTCTGGCTATATATCATACACCCCACCCTTTCTTATTGTTGAAATTTAGTCTTGAAGTAGTTTAACGGAATTTTCCCTCCTGTCTTGTACTATGTTACATGTGAAAGCTGTTCCTCACACTCTGCCTTTTTCCCCCACTTTTTCGGGTTGGCTTTGCCCTTGTAGTGTCAATATAATCCAATAAAATGCTCCCCCCCCCCCCCCCCCAAGTGCTCAAGAAAAAAGAGGGAAAAAAACTTATTTCCTCCTCTGCCCCTAATTTGCCCTATTTTGTTTTCTTTAATAGAATGTTAGTTTTCCTTTTTTGAGAACTGAATATAATCTTTCAATGGAAAATCTCACTATTGTTTGTCAGGTCAAGCATAATGAGGGATCTTATGTACTATGGCTGATGTACATTTACAGTCGGACACAGCTTGATGAACGGTTGGCTGCCTTTGATGCTGCCGTCTTGGCACTCTGTCATGATAAATCTGCTGTCAAGGATGGAATACATAGTAGCGCGTGCATCTTAGACATGTTTCTGCAGATGGTTGATTGTTTATGCATGTCAGGGAATGTTGAGAAAGCCATTCAGAGAATTCATGGAGTATTCCACAATACAACAAAGTCCGATGAGCCTCATCATCTGTCACTCTCGGATATACTAAATTGCTTAACTGTTACTGACAAATGTGTGTTCTGGATTTGTTGTATTTACTTAGTTATTTACAGGAAATTGCCGGATGCTATTGTACAAAAGTTTGAGTGTGAGAAAGATCTTGACATTGAATGGCCAGTTATCCATTTATCAGAAGAAGAGAAACAGATGGGTGTTAAACTTGTGGAAACAGCTGTTGAATCCGTTGACTCTTCCATCTATAATGAATCAGACAAAAATGAAGTTAATCTGAGGTTTCTTCAACTTTTTGCTCTCAATCATGTTAGATGCATGGTTGCACTGGATAACCTGGAATGTTTGTGGAGCTTGTTGGATAAATATGTCAAGTTGTACCCTTGCAGCATTGAGTTGGTTTTAGAATCAATTCATATACAGAAACAGGAGAATGGGATTGATACTTTCATGGGATTTGAGGAAGCCATTAGCAGGTGGCCGAAAAAAATTCCTGGAATCCAATGCATCTGGAATCAATACATTGAAAATGCTATCCAGGATGGAAGAATTGATTTTGCTAAAGAAATTACAGTCCGATGGTTTCAATCTGCTTGGCAAGTTCAGGAATCCCATGATGCAGAAACGGACGCCACATATTGTGATCATTCTTCCAGTTCTTTGGGAGTTGATTCTAAATCATTTCCAGATACTGCAAGCTCTGGTCTTAGCCAGATGGATGTAATGTTTGGATTCCTTAATCTCTCTCTCTATAAATTTTTTCAGGATGATGAAACAGGAGCTTGCATAGCAATTGACAAGGCAAGGGAAGCTACCAATTTCGGAGCTTTAGATAATGGAATGAGAAAGCATGCAATGTTTTTGCTTATTGATGCCTCATGCCTAAAAGATAATGGTCCTAATGGTGGCATCAAGAAAATTTTGGAGATGTATAATGATAGCGTCTTTCAGAATTTTATGGCTCCCAAGCTGATGACAAGAAAATTTTTTGACGACGTCAAGAAGCCTCGAGTCCAGCAGCTTATGAGTAACTTACTAAGTCCAGTTTCAATTGATTATTCTGTGATAAACTTGGTTCTTCAGTCTTGGTATGGTTCATCACTTTTACCTCAAACATTCAGTGATCCAAAAGAACTGGTGGATTTTGTTGAAGCCATCTTGGAGGTGGTTCCCTCCAATTTCCAATTAGCAATTTCTGTCTGCAAGCTTTTGAGCAAAGGCTTCAATTCTGCTGATGCTGATCAAACTTCAGCTAGTTTGTTGTACTGGGCTTGTTCAGCTATGGTCAATGCAATTTTAGATGCCATCCCAATACCCCCAGAGTACATCTGGGTGGAAGCTGGGTTGTTGCTGGATGACGTTATGGGCATTGAGGCCATTTCTCTGAGGTTTTATAGAAGGGCTTTAACAGTGTATCCATTCTCTGTAAGGTTGTGGAAATCCTTCTGCAACCTATACAAGGTTTTTGGAGAGGCAGGCGATGTTATTGAAGCAGCAAAAGAAAGGGGTATTAGTATTACATCTGAATGACTTCATAACACACTATTATTTCACTGAATGCCAGATTGTTAATGGTAGGATCAATACCCTTGTGTTCCTTTTGGGCCAGCTTTTCGTCTTACAATTGGAGGCCTAGAGGGAGGTTTTGTTTTTGTATAGGACAACGCTGCCCCTCAGCTTGAATAGTATTTAGTATATTTGGCATTTTGGCACAGAATTGAAGACATAGTTTATGCAAGGTATGAGCTAACATAACTTGTACAGTGGCGATTTTGGGCACTTAGCTTGTTAGTTCTTCTGTAGGGTGGGTTTGAAGTTTTGGTGACATTTGAGGATATTATTTTCCATAAGAAATAGATTATACTAATATTTGATGTTGTGGTTTTTTTTTTAATTGTTTCTTTAATTTGAAAGGGAACAAATGTTTTTCTGTTGTGCCCATGTACCTATTTTATCACATCAATGGATTTGTTTAAAGGAAGATTTGTCATTGGGAGCAGCAATATTAACTCATTTGTTCTTCAGTACTAGAAATTGATTCCTACTGAATTGAAGAATGTGACATTCTATCTATTGTATTATTATTAGGTTTTTCGAGTCATTATTTTTTTAACGTTATAATACATCAGTCTTTTTACTTTAAAATAATAGGGAATTTAAATATCTTTATTGCATCCAGAAAATCACTGACTTCAAAAATAGTAGTAATGTAAATTCCCAAGATGTATAATGTATACACGATATTTTTTAAAATAATTTTTAAATCATGGTAAAACTCGAAGGGTAGGTCAGCCTTCCAACTGCAAATCATTATTATTGTGTAGTTAAACAATATTACACTCAAATAAAGTCATAATTAAGTTATCACAATACTCAAATCTGGAAAATCCAGGAAATAGAAGCCACCATGAGAGCAACGCAAACCAACTGAACATTAGTGTCCACACCAACATTCTTAGACCCACTTGTCAGAGGAGTGTTTTTCTGGGACGATGCTGTAGTCTTCCCCGGAAGGCTGGAGGTGGCACTGGTCGGACCGGCCACCGGCATTGCCCTAGCGGGGGCCTGAGCCAGGGAATTGGTGCCATTGCCTTCGACATGAACATGGAGCTTCATACCTCCAAGGCAATACAGTTTGTTGCCACTCACAAAATACCTGTCTCCAGGTCTTGTTAATGGCACAGTGGTGTTTCCATTGCCATAAGTTGCCAAAACCTTGTTTGTGTTGCATGTCTTGTAGTTTTCTCTTGTAACTTCATCCACATTATCAGACGAAGAATATTGAAAAACTGCAAAAATAGAATAACAATATTTCATTTTTATTTATTCAAATTGAACCACAAAATTTCGACGGCTGAAAGAAAAATAATCATCTTTAGGGTGTATTTTTGTGACGTACATTCAAGATTTTAATGTTTATTATTTGGTGAAGATATCAAAATAAAGAAGAAAAACAACGTTTCTTCCTGATGGATAGATAAACTCTCAGTTTAGCAGTTCTTAATGGTGGATAGAAGCTAAATTTTAAAAAACAAGATTTGTAAATAAAGGGCAGATTTGGAATTCAGTAATCAATACTACATTCGGTTCTAAATATAAGAGCTAGTTGACTAATTTGAGTAGATTAAAGAAATAAGTTAAATTAGTTATTTATAATAAATGCGTTGTCTTTCCTAAAATATCCTTATTAATAAAGTGTATTGGTTAAAACTACTATCATTAGAAACACTATCTTGAAAAAAAAAGCTAAATATGAGAGAAAAAGTGAATTGAAGTTTTATATTAAGGACCAAAATAAAAGTTATATTAAGGACCAGAGGTAGTATATGAAAATAGAATTTTAATTTGGTGCCTATATATAAGAACAAAGTAATTAAGCAATAATATACTTACTAAGAACATCGCCGGCCTTGAATTTCTTATCTTGAATCCAGGTACCCAGATTGGTACTGATATCCCAACCTGAGTTGTCTCCAACATAGTAGGTGGTGGCTGAGCATTTCATAATAATAACAAAAGCAAAATGAACAACAAGAGCCACAATCATCATCAGCTTTGCCATGTTTAACATAAATTTTTTGGCTTTATCAGAATTCCACTTTGTTTGATGAATTAGCAGCAAGTAAACACAAATGAGCCCCATTTAAATACCTAAGGGTTGCTCTTGATTAGATCACCTAACTTTTATTTATTTATTTATTTAATTATTTTGCCCTCTTTACGTAAAGATATTAGGTGCGAAACATCATAGATATTCACTAATCCGCTGTAACAACCACCAAGAAGTTCAACTCTCTGCCATATATATCTTGGCCCTCTTGGACAATCCGGTGAAATTACCAATCCCTTCGAACCATGCGGATAAAAAAATTGCCTAAATTCAGTTAAAAGCAATAGATGTGTAAAAAATGTATTTTTTTTAAATATACCCTTTATTTATGGAGAAAGTAAATGAGAGAGAATGAGTAATAATATTGACCTGCAACAGAGACGTGTCTTTAATGGAGGTAAAAAAAGAAAAAAATGATTAGTTAAACTTCAGATATAAGGTATAATTAACTTATAAAAAGAATTAATCAGCCTTATTTTTTAAAATTGTAACCTGTACATACGATTCGAGGGAATATATTATTGCTAATTTGAATGAATGAGTGACGACAAGTTCAGTTTGGTGGTCAGCACTTTGCAGTTGAACGGTATTGTATAGCAAAGGCTTGATTGGTTTGACTTTTTCACTTCTATCTTATGATATCATCAAATCAGAGAATTTGAAGTCCACTATAATTCATACCACCTTCAACCATAAAATCCATACACAAATTCCAAAATTACTATTGACTTGTTATGCAAGGTTATGGAACCTAAATTAAGAGATTTTTAATTAAAGCAAAATATATTACCCCCTCCATTTTTATTATTCTAAAGCATTGTTTAAGGTTTTATGATTCAATTTATAAGGTACTACTTTCGGTCCTAATTATAAGAACTAGTTGACTAATTTGAGGAGATTAAAGAATGAAGTTAAGTTAGTTATTTGTAATAAATATGTGTTGTCTTTTCTAAAATATCCTTACTAATCAAATATATTGGCTAGAACTACCATTGTTAGAAAAAATACATAAATATTAGAGACAAAATGGATTGGGGTTTTATATTTAAGACTAAAATAAAAGTCAAACAAAGTCTTATATTAAAGACTGAAGGTAATATTTTAATTTATGGGATGTTGAGAATAATTAATATGTTTGTTTTTCAAAAATATTCCTGACAAATGAAAAAAGAATTACTTCATCCCCTTTAATTTAGCAGGGAGTTAATTATATTTAATGAAGGCTATATTTGCAAAGATCAAAATGTTTTAAGGACAATAACTAATCATATCGGTTTGTATAAGTTAATTAACTTTAACATTATATCAACTAAGATATCGTCGTTTAACTTTAACATCCTCTCATTAAAATCTTCCATTGCATTGCAAGATTCAAATAAGCAAGTGGTTTGTATCATTAAAATATTACAAAGCAATCACTACCTTTTAAGATTATCCTTCGATTAAAATCAATCGGTTTTAATTATCTTTAATTTCTTTCCTATATAATCTCTTTTTATATAATACAATTAATACGGGCATCTGTGAAAAAAATTAATATTATTGACATTTTCCCCAAAGTATCCTACATTTTGAACCAAGTATATACTAGCTGGTAGCTAGAAATGTTTTATATTTTGGACCAAATAGAATATTAATTAAGTAATGCTAATTGATACTACCTCCGGTCCTTATTATAAGATCCTGTTTGATTTTTATTTTGGTCTTAAATATAAGACTTCAATCTACTTTGTCTATCATATTTATCTACTTTTTTTCATGATAGTCTTTCTAATAATAGTAGTTATAGATAACAAACTTGACTAGCAAGGATATTTTAGGAAAAACAACACCTATTCATTACAAATAACTAACTCAACTAAGTTCTTTAATCTCTCCAAATTAGTCAACTGGGTCTTATAATTAGGACCGGAAGTAGTATTATATTGTCAATCTTAAGAACCAAAACTATTGGTTTCAAATTTCATAAAATAAAACTAAAATGAGATCAAATTTCAAGAACTAAAAATGATATTAATTCTATTACAAACTAAAGAAAGTACTTAGAAAAGTACCAAATGTCAATCTTTTTATATGGTTGAAATATATGGCATGGGATATGATTAAAGTCCACTACGTTTTAATTTGAACCCTCTTAATATATGATTTCTTTTTTTTTAAAAAAAAAAAGCGCGCACACAAAAAGAAAAAGAATGGACTTGTTTTTATTTGTTTTTTTATTTCTCTATTACAAATATCGATATTTGAAGAAAGAAAGAAATTAAAGAAGAGAAGTTTGAATAGATGTAGAAATAAATCAGAATTGACGAGAATGAGTACTAGCTAGTGGAGGAGACAGGGAAGTGGTGTGGCGAGTGATGAGAAGAGAATGAATTAATCCAAATACAAAACAATGACAGTTATGTCGTCATGGAAATGCCTTCTTACTCCTCTCTCTATCTTCTTCAAGTCTGAGTATCTCATCTCTCTCTTCTTCGCCGCCTCACACAGCGCCGCTTTCACCAGCCTCCGAGCTATTCCCTGTACGTAGTAAGCTTGATGAGATGGAGATGGGTGTGGGTATTAACAATTTATTAGTTCATTTTGAATAAACAACTGTTAGAATATTCAAGTTTGGGTGTACTTGAGGTGATGATCATATGAAGGTTAAAGCTAATTAATAAGTATTACCTCTGGTTCTCATTATAAGAGCTACTTGACTAATTTGAGTAGATTAAAAAAATTGTTAAGTTAGTTACTTGTAATAAACAGACATTGTCTTTCTTAAAATACCCTTACTAATCATGTATATTAGCTAAAACTACCATTTGATGAAATATTTAACATGTGCAACCACTACAAGAACTACTACCTCCGGTCCTAATTATAAGACCCAATTGACTAATTTGAGAAGATTAAGGAAAGAAGTTAAGTTAGTTATTTGTAATAAATAGGTGTTGTCTTTCCTAAAATATCCTTACTAATTAACTATATTGGCTAGAACTACAATTATTAGAAGGACTATCTTGAAAAAAAATGTATAAATATGAGAGACAAAGTGGATTTGGGTCTTATATTTAGAACCAAAATAAAAGTCAAACAGGGTCTTATATTAAGGACCAGAGGTAGTATTTTGAAAAAAATAGATAAATATAAAAAATAAAATGGATTATGGTCTTATATTTAGGACCAAATTGAAAATCAAATTAGCTTTTGTATTAAAAATAAGAGATAGTAATATATAATAAAGTGAAACGATCTATAAACTTGAACCTTAATTGGCCCATATGTTTCCTCCTGCTCTTGGGTTTGACTCCTTATTTCTAATAATAAGTGGCATTAGAACTAGGTTTTAACTAGGACTTGTGTGAAAAAGACGCCATTGGAATTATGTAATTGTGAACATGTGTGAAGCCTAAAATGGGAACAGCTCAAGCTAGCCTTGATTGCAAAAACATGAAATTGGTGTTTGTAGCGTTTTTGAATTTGGAAGAATGGCTAACAAACTCACATGAGGAGAGATTGTTCATTTCAGATAAAGTTAAGCTTAATAAGTAATTATACTAAAAAATAAATTTTACGTTTAGGACTGAAAGAATAGATAATAAGACTTGTAAACTAAAGTCTCAAAATTTTGAGTTGAGATGTAGTATCTATTATTTATTGTTCTTTGTTATCACCACCGTACCTTAATTAATATTGCACTATTTTTTATCATTTTCCAACTCTCTCCAGAGTTATGGTTTAATTACTGAAGGGTGTGGGGTCAAATAGGTAATGATGGATGCTTGTATCAAATTAAATAAACTGGAAGTAATTAGTATTAAATTAAAGAGAAAGTGGAATGAATGAATATTGGAAATCAATTAATGAATTAATGAAGCGTACATTGCGGGGATAGTTGTACACGATTTCAACAGCTTCTTGATTGGTCAAGTGCTCCCACAAGCCATCTGACGCAAATATAATGAACTGATCATCTGGGTGGTGTTTTTGCACACTTATCGTTGGTTCTGCTTTCAGGATCGGCTTCTCAAAGGGCTCTGATACCCTAAATTTCGCCAGAAGTGGTTCTTTGTTAAACTCTGCCCTCTTCAGGTATGCATCTCCTATGGATCTCGAAACCTGCAACAATTAATATACACACACTTTTATCATCAGTTATAATATTTTCATGTAGCTCCAAGCCCTTTCTTAGGTTTCCCTTTATCTCCTAACAGATAGTTACGCCACAACAACAATAAACTAGGCATGATTGCACAATGTCATTATGCTCTATCTGACAAGAATCATAGTACGAATTGTTGAGGTTTTGCTCAACAAGTTTATCGAGGATTCTTCTATCATTTTATGATAGGAAGAGAGAGAGAGAGAGAGCAGATACACAGGCTTAAGGCCTCTGATATGCCCATCTCTTTGATTCTCTAATTCTCTTTATCAGCTATAATATTTACATGCCTTTCTTAGGTTTCTTATGAACCTCTATCTCCTAATAGATGGTTATACAACAACCGCTCTTTATCCTACATGATTACATGAGATATCATTGTGTTCTGTCAATAACTAAATTTTTGGACAAACTATTAAGGTCCCGCTCAATAATTTAGTTGATTGTTCTTCCATCCTTTTTATGATAGGTGAAAAAAATAGAGAAAGCATATACGCGCGGGCTTGAGACTTTTAATATGTTTCTCTCTAATCCTTTCTAATGCTCTTCATCAGTTATAATATTTGCATGCCTCAAAGTTTTCTCTTAGGTCCTGTTTAGTACGAAGTATTAAAAATGAAGAATGGGGATTATGATTGCACTTGAAAAAAATTATTAAAAAAGTCTTTAGTATGAGTAATTGTTTTTACATGGAATTAAGCAAACACATGGAAGTAGGATTAGGGAATACTACTTCCCCCATAGTATTCTCAATCCTACATATATAGGTTTATCTAACCCCATATAATAAGCAGTCTCTCATGTTTAATACTATTTTTTCAATCTTAATCTCAATCCCAATTTTTTATTTTTAATCCTTAGGTTTCTTATGGAACCCTATCTCCTGACAGATCAGATAGTTACATGACAATAAGTCTTATCCTACTAATTAAATGGTGTAAGGTGTATGAAACACTCTATCAATAACCAAATCTTTGAATATATGTCCCTTTCAGAATAGATAAAAAAGGAGAGAGAAAGCAGACACTTGCCTGAATGATGCCTTTGACACGCCAGACCCTGTGCTTGAGGATGACGATGTGAGGATCATGAGGGTGAGAGGAACGTAGCTCATGTCTCACAGATTCCATGCTGGCGTTGTGCTCAGAAGACAACTGAATGGCTTTGATCTCTTTGTGAGCCTTATTATGGAGTCGCCCTAACACAGCACGAGAGTCTCCAGCATTAGCTACGTACAACATGCCGTTGCAGATTATGCCTACCAAACAACAACTTCCAACTGATGCTAACAGTGGCTTCTTCACCCACTGCTCCTGCACTACGCTTAGAAACTCCTCTTCTGTTTCCAAAAATGCTTTCTTTATCACCTCTTCTGACATCCCATGATGCTCTGAAGTAAATCCTACACACAAGCACGCAAGAACCATTGTAATATTGGATAGATATGCATAAAGAAAACGCTACTTCTGCTAACTAGTTTGTCAAGAGGTGTCTGTGTTTCTTTTTGTTGAAGGCTTTAAGCTAGTAGGGTGAGATTGTTTGGGAAAAGTGTAAGTAAAGAGTTATATATAGTAATCATTAATAAATGGTTATGATTTTTAGAATAAAGGGTTATATGTCAAGCCTGTGTATGTGTATAGTTATACAGACACACACCTTCAATTTTATAGATAAACAAAGGGTTAAAGATCTTCATTCAATGCTCTTTCTAAGCTAGAGAAGTTATTTAACAGGAATAAACTTAAATTTTTAAAGTATGTAGAAGAGTCAGATTTTGATAGAGATAGAAATAGAGCAGTGATCAAGTCCTATATATGTGGGTGTCATAATACTGAGACCACGCCTATCTTTTTATCTTTCTGTAATCTAACTGCTAGGAAGCTCTTAGACAGTCCTCATCATAAAAGGAACATACTAAACTTCACACATTTTAGGCTTTAGGGTTAGAGCTTTGCGAATAGATTAGTTTTAGACCATGTAAATAGGAGGGCAACTAATGTAAGATATATGGTTTTGGTCAAAGGGTAATATCAAGACCATATATATAACAAATTTGATGGCCATGGAGTGAGTCCTGTGTCTGTAAATGTGGGCCTCACAATACTAAGGCCACACTTATCTTTCTATCTTTCTCTAATCTCTCAATCTTTACTCATATTTAGGTTTTAGGGGTTAGGGCTATGCAAAGAGAAGTTTTAAACCATATAATATACCCCCCTCCAATCCTAATATACTACAAACTAGCTAGATACTCCTCCGGTCTTGAATATAAGACCCATTTAACTAATTTGATTAGATTAAGGAAGTTAGATAAGTTAGTTAATTATAAGAAAAGTGACACATTTTTCCTAAAATACCATAATTATCTTTCTTAATACCTCATCTCCCTCTTCTATTTGATTATGGTTGAAGAAGTATCCATAGGGGTAATATAGAGAAAATTGATAAATATGAGAAATGGATCTTATATTTAGGATCAAAATCAACTCAAGAATTGGGTCTTATATTAAAGACCGGAAGAGTATTATATTTAGGATTAGAGGTAGCATATATATGGTTTTGGTTAAGGGTAATATCAAGATGATACATATAACAAGGAACAAGACGAGGAAAAAAAAAAAGTCATATAAAGTGAAATAAACTTACTTTTGATGTTGTTGAAGAGGTGGTCATTGACAAAGCGAGCAGCTTCAGGACCTCCATGGCCATCATAAATGCCAACAAAAGTGCCTTGAGGGCCATCATCTTCAAAAAAACTCATAGAACCAGATTCAAGCTGGCTTTGATCTTCCAACAAATTGTTCGCCTGAACAACAGCCATGGAGAATTCTCCATTCACATGTCTCCCACAATCCTTGTACCACATCAACCCGTCCACACGACCATTGGAATCCCCATTCTTACTAGAATTATTCTCTGTCTCATTACGCGATGATGGCCTCCAACACGGTGTCACAATTCGCCTGATTCTTGCTGTTCCCATTATGATCTTATAATCTTACGTAGTCTCACTCAAAACCATCCTGCAATTAACAACCTCATTATCTTCGACGACACAATTATCTGATCGATGTCAGTTCCTAGCTGATATATATATATATATATATATCAGTTTCTAGCTAGCTCCATGATATGGTACGTCGGTTGGGATTTATCATAGGGGATTACGTTCGAATGTCCCAAAACCTGCATTAATTGTGGGCTATTTTAGAACAAAACCAAATTCTTTACTTTGATTCTTATTTGTAAATAAACGTTCGCGACATAAATGTAAGGTTTTAAACCCTCAAATACAAATACATAGCTTGATGCGGAAGCATTTAGCATACGTACGTACCTTGAAATTAAGATATGGATATGTACATATTGAGACAATGAACAATGTTGCAAACTCCTTTGTGAAAGGATTTTGAACCTGCAGGGCTATGAATCTTACGATGGAAAAACAAAACTTTCTGAAGAAAGTTTTGGAGGGTTAATTACGTACGTTGAAACCTTGCTTTTGATGAGGATTTGCAGCGGTGGGAAATCTCTATTTTTCCCTTAAAAACAGAAATTTAAGAATGAATTAACAGATATCACTCGGTTTTTGAAAGAATTTTCAATTCATGGTGAGAGGAGTTGCATCGATCCCTAAGGGCTTTTGGCGTTTCAGGTTAATTATTTGTTATGGTTTTCTAATTTATTGCATTGGGTTTTGACCTTGACCTCCAACAAACCACCATATTTGGCCACTTCTCCTCATCTTCTTTTCTCCTTTATTTAGTTAATCATTAAAGTTCCTTTCTTACAAAAGAAATTTATTTGATTCATTTATTGACAAAAAATTCAATGTTTCTTTGTTGTGGATTACATGTATCATGATTCTTGCAATCCAATGAACTAGCTTAGTGAGGGTTTGTTCAACTAACGAAAGCCGCTAGTTTCATTCAACCGCTAATAGGAAACTTTAATTTGAAAATTATTTAGAGAGTTTGAGATAAATTACACAGTTCACAAGATGTATACGTACTCCATCTCCATCTGGTTCTATATACAAGTAACAACTGATTAAATTACAAATTACGTAGATTAAAAGTGTTAGTTAAAATTGAATTAAGAGCAATCAATGTATAAATTTTTTTTTTTTCAAATATACCCTTATTTATAAAGATGAGGCGTGAGAGTGAGAAGGTGTGGGAAAAAACAAGAGAGAATAAATAGAGAAAAAAAAAGGATGAGAGAGACATATAATTAATGGAGGGTAAAAATAAAATGTGCATTAAATTTTTAGACAAAGACAAGGCGTTACTTATATACTACTATAAGACCAACCCTGTGTAAGACAATATTACTCATACATAGGATTGGAGAAAATATAATATACTACCTCCAGTCCTAAATATAAATATTTATACTACAAAATAAATTTTATATTCAGAATCAGAGGTAGCATTAATTTCCAGGACTTAATTAACTAGGGAAACTAATATTGCCAAATATACTCGCCTAAATCTAATGGAGAATATGATTTTCATTTTGTATACACCACTAAATATAGATTTGCTCATATTTAACGCTTAATATTTGACTATTAAAAACTACTAGTGTTTAATAATTTTAACATAAATCGTCAGATATATTTATATCAATACTTAACGGGTAAATAAAAACAACAAAAAATAATCATACTTGATGGTTACTTAGATATAACCTTCAAATAAGAAATTTTAAAACCCTTTCAAATTCCATCCCTCGGTTTTTCAGAATAACCCATGTTCCATTAAGATCTCACTACGCTGATCATTCATCTGTCAATTAGTTTTTAAAATTTCAACTCTTTTTAAACCCCTCCACTACCCTTAACATGGGTTTAGCTCAAAGCAAATCTACTGCAAAATTCAGAATTCACTTTCAGAGTTAAAAATATTTCTGAAAACAAATTTGGCATAACATCTGAAAATCGCCTTTGGGGGAAAAAGAGCTTCTCTTATAAAAGAAACTTAGGTTTGCCTTCAAGTCAGTGCTATCATAAAATGAAAGAGTTGGTATAGATCAAAAGATTTATCCTTTTTTGCCGTCCTGTCATATTCTTTGAAGAATGGTTTAAACTTCATAGCTTAATTATCCTACCTTTGGACGATTAGATTTGTGGGATACTAATGTATCATCTCTAATTCTAATTATAAGATTTTATTTGTAAACTACAAACGAGGCCTTATAATTAGGATATGAGATAATATATTATATTTAAAGTCATAAGTTCTATTCAGAAGAAGACATTCTTGGGAAGAACATTGACTTTATTAGCACTGAGAGAGTTATTGATGACCTCAAAATGAACGCTAAAATAAACTACTAATAATAAATTAAAAGTACATTCCAAATAATTACCACCTCAAATTTGGTTGGGTTAAATTAGATATTGATATCTCAAAGGATAAAAAGGACAAACAACTCATTGAAACTTTATTCATGATCCCAACGGCAATTGGATAAAGTGTTTTTACCCCAAAAAAAAAACAGAAAAAGAAAAACTCAAATTCCTTCCTTTTAGTTTTTTCACTACTAGTTGCCGAAGTTTTGATCCTACTGGAAGGTTTGAATATATGTTGCAATCAAGGATACACGGTTAATGTTGAAAGCTTTCAAGCTTATTTAAAATGAATATTCACCTAATCAGGAGGGATTTTATACCCTTGATCAAGGAAGTTAGAGATTTTCTTTTCTGGCGAACAAATTTTAGAAAGAATGTTAGACTCACCCATGATTTAAGGGCAAGAAAACTAATCCTTAACTCCGACCACCACGCGATATAGCACTCTTGACTAATTAATTTAAAATGATAGACTTTGATTTCGAATATGCCTTTCCAAATGCCATGACAATCTTAGGAATCGCATCTCCTCTCTTTGGTGAGAGTTTCCAACCATTTAGAGCTTTTATCATGAGATTAGATGATTATTCTTGGCTAAGTTTATGGATACCATTTGATTGATTAATACTCTTTTGATCCTATTTATAAGTCACTTTTAACATATTTCATATAGATCAAGAAAAATCTTAAATTTCATTAACTCTCATTTAAAATTCAACAACTTTCCAACTTTAGTCCTATTTAATGTATATTATACCTCATATAAACAAAGTCAATATAATAATAAATGAAGGGTAAAATAATATATCCATACAAATTTTTTTTTTCGGTATCCTATAAATATGTCTAAAAAATGCCTTTTCTCTTTACCTTATAAATAGAACCAGAGGAGTATCACTATCAATTTATACTAATGAGTAAGTGTACAATACACATATGAGATGAACATTTAAGTTGAACTCCAATTTGCATTAAAATTGGAGTTCCTGTGTCACACAGATTTTCACATCGTCAATTTGTCTGCACCATGACTTCTATTCTGGTTTTATTGAAAAATGTACAGAAGTTAGACGAAGTAGTTTGAAGTTTCAACAATCAGGTGTCAATGGAGTATCCCCTTGGATTGTGCATAGATTTAATTCAGTTCTGCACTCTCTTGTGTTGTTTCTATATCCTTTTGATGATTTTGTGTCAAATGAGCTTTTGGTGTAATAGGATCGATTATGCAATCTTATTTACACGTATACAAAAATGTACTTTTTTTTTGTTGGAAGGAAGGGGGTAGCTGTTTTGAAGTGCCCAGCAAAAGGCTCTGATTCAGTCAATTTCAAAACCTGTTCTTCAGCCAAAAACAAAACAAAAAAAAGGTTCAAATAGAGGTTTTGGGAGGGCTTCATTGCTGAATCGATGAAGTTCAATTAGAGTTGTACATGATTTTACCATTAGCATTAAAATAAAAACCAAGATAATAAAAACCGGACTGGTCAAAGCAATGAGTCAAGGATCAATAGGTGAATGCTTCTCTGTTTCCCCACTTCAACATGCATAAGTGATCAGATGATAAGAATAGGTGATAGCTTCTACTCCTCCTTACTTCATGAGTAGCATCATAAGCGTTCAGATCTGGATTTTTAATGGCAATCATTTTGTTGCTCTGTAGTTTGTATGCACATTGCCATTTTGCTCTCCAACTACAGCCGGGAAAACAAGCCGAGCCTATCAGGCTGGGCCATTTAAGTCCGTTTAAATTGAAGGTCGGGCTTGTAAATTTGGGGTCTTCAAAAGAAACTTGAACTTAAAAAGGCCAATCCTATAAGGCTCGAAAACAAAAGGACCGGCCCTGTAGGGTTACAGACTAGCCCGTTTAAGCTCACCAACAATAATTTTTTTTTAATTTATATTTTTTTTCTTGACCCTAACGTAAGTTCCTAACATTTTACACACTATTCTTCTCTAAGTTTCACTTTCAGTCTTTCACTCACTCTCAACTTACACCTCAATCTCCAATGATATTAAAATAAATAAAAACATATTCTCCATATCCTAAATCAGATTTCAAATTTATATTTATTTGAACCAATAATTATATATTAAAATAAACAAAATATATTCCTCATACTAAAACAAAAATTTTAATGATTAAACCAACAGATACATATCAATTTGTATATATGTTATAAAATTTTAATAAATAAGTTAACACTTTTTCTATAGTGACTATATCATAATTTTTTACTCTATATTTAAATTAAGGTTTTAAGAGCCGGACCGAACCGGACGGTCCGACCGGTCAGACCTTCACTCAGTCCACACAATGGCTCGGACAGAGGGTTTGGGCCGCTTGAGTGGTTAATCCGTTTTGGACTGCCTTTTATTCGCTGTTGGGCCGGATGCCTTTTTGGGCTGGAAACCATTCCGGATTTGTAAAACTGGACGGGCTGAAGTGCTGAAGGATATCATCAAATAAAAAAAAGAAGGCCCAAAACTACCAAAAGTCCATATATTTAATATTTATTACATTACAAAAATAATTTAAAAAAAATGATTTCAAGGACCCCTGTTTCTAACTTTTTGCTTGGCGCTTTTCGGCCTTACTGTCATGAACGCAAGACCAACTTTGTGAGTTT